GGTACCTATTCGAGAACTTGCGAGAACTTCGGCGGATGGTAATGAGAACTTCGTTTTGGCAGAGACCTTGGCATCTTTATATAATTTGTCTGGGGCATCGTACAAGTGGTTGTACTTCCGAATCTCCTCGATTAACCTTTCATCGTAGTTGTCCATTGTAGTTTTTTCTTGGTTTTTAAATCGAGAAAGATGACCACACAGACAGCCGGAAAGCCATACCAAGGACCAGTCACAACCAGTTTTTTCTGCGCACTTCCACTTGAGGTCTGCGCGGGTTTGCGACCGTCCAACGCTTAGTCAGGATTTTTTTCAGGTCCGTCGTCTCGCACCTCAAAATAATTTGAAAACAAAAAAACAAAACAAAAAAAACAGAGACAGATTTGACGGTTGCAGAGGCTATGTGTCAGAAGCATAAATTAGCCTTAAAGGCACAGCATATACCTTTTACCCTCTAGGGGCGCTAGACCTGTAACTTTCACGTCTAGCCGCACTAGTGGCCAAAAGCGCTGCAGCACTATCACAAAAGTCAACAGTAAGCCGACCAGCCTCCCTTGTCTATTGATCGGGGACCGCGCTAGGCAACTAAGTTCAGCTTGGCGGGCGTGAGAAATGATGCTGCTCTCTGGAGAGCACTGCTGGGGCAGGCTGGACCTTACAGTGTGGAGGATCAGCGACTAATATCCAGGGAAAAGCCACTGGCCCAGACGGGGCGCCTTGGTTAGCTTTTGATTGACGCCTGCTAGCTTTCTCCCCGTATTTTCCTTCCACTAAACATCAAAAATAATAACAAAGACATATGACTGTATGCTAACTTACCAGTCTAATAATAAATTGAGAAAAGAGAATCTGTTTTACATCCGGCTTCTTTCAGCCTGCGGCAACAAACAACCTCCTTCCCAAGATCAACTTTTTTCCTCGCGCATGATCCCTTTTATATTCTCTTCTTATCCTCCTCAGAAGGTTTAAACTTTTTCCTTGCCTCAGCCATGACCAAAACTCGAGCAGGCAGGAAAAATAGTAGAGCAAAATCCTTAGCTCCATGACTATATAAGAGCCTGTGGCTTTGAAGCGACACATTCTTCCAGGTCATGTGACCAGGCCAAAGACGTTGCGTCTTCTCTGAACTTACATAGTCAGTATTTCAAGAAGGGGGCCCCGCTCTTAGCATTGATAGTCTCAAGCACTGTATATTGCCCTAAGGAATCATTTAAAATAACTCTTATGCATCAACTCTTTAGGTCACAAAGTCTGCGGTGTGCCTTTAAAGTGGAAATTAAACATTCAACAAAACTAAAAATATAAACGTAACAGACAAAACCAGGCTAACAAGTTCAATTAAATTAAATTCTATTTAGTTTATTTCTATAGTGCCAAATTCACAACACATGTCATCTCAAGGCACTTTACAGTTCAACCAGATCATACAGTCAAATTGATACAAAGTTTTCTATCTAAGGAAAACCAGTTGATTGCATTGACTCAAATACAATCCCTCACACTAAGCATGCTTGTAGCGACAGTGGAGAGGAAAAACTCCCTTTTAACAGGAAGAAACCTCCAGCAGAACCAGGCTCAGTGTGAGCGGCCATCTGCTGAGGCCGACTGGGGTTCAAGGAGACAGAAGCAGAGATACAAAAAGCAGCTGTAAAAGGCGGCCCCGTCCAGGAAACACACAGCCAGGCAGAAGAGCTCTGAGCCGATTCCCATGTCAGAGGATGAAGAGAGCACATCCACTCAGTTATGGTCAGAGAAACAGAACTACACTGGAAAACAGGCCGATCTCCAGCATCTATAAACTAAGGTGTTGATGGAAGCAGCACAGCTAATATTTCTCTCCAGGATGGAGTCACAGCCAAACAGGAACAGACCAGATGAAGCTACTATGAGAAAAAGCAGAACTTTAGAGATTGAACTAACATATTCTGCAGAATGGGAGTATAGAGATAGAATGAAGCAGAATGATGAAGAAGAGGTCCCTATGTCCTCCAGAAGTCTAAGCCTATAGCAGCATAACTATAGAGATAGCTCAAGATAACGCTCTAACTAGTTAGTTAGTTAGTTAGATTTGTTGACTCAAAATAAAAAGGTGTCAAGTAAAGTACAAATACTTTGTTAACTTACTTAGGTTGAAATTTTGGCTATCTATACTTTACTGGAGTATTTATTTTTTAGACAACTTTTTACTTCTACTGCTTAAATTTGAAAATAGACTCAATACTTTTGTTTCAATTAAGCTAATCTTTGTTATGGCATTTAAGAACAATAAAATCCATAAAAAAAATGTTTTGGTTTAATTCAGACGATTAATTTCTTTGTAGTTGGAGTTGGTGCTGCCCCAACTTGTTATTCGCCACATACAAAAATCGTTTTTCAAGACGATGCAAGGTTAACTTTGGCACTGTTACCATTAGTTATAAAACAACGAAAATTAAGTATAAAGAAGTTGTCGTCAAGAATTGTAGAAAAATTTTTCCTTTAATGGGGTAGTTTAGTAAAGCATCTGTGCCTAACATTTTTTCCTGCATTACTTTCACTTTTATACTTTAAATAGTCTCTGAGCAAGACCATTAACCCCAGTTGCCCCACAATGGCAGCCCACTGTTCCCCATTGGAAAGGGTTAAATGCAGAGCTACATTTCTCAAATTTGAGATTAACAAAGTTAAATTATTGTTATTATTAATAATAAAAATTTTACTTTTGCATTTTAACTTGAGTAAAAATCTTAAGTTGATACTCTTACTTCTACAAAATGTTTTTAAACAGTAGTATTTATACTTCTACTGGACTAATAAACATGAATACTTTTGACACCTCTAACAATGTGGAGTTGATTATTCTCCTAATTCTTTTAAACTAGGTTGCAATCCTGCAACTTGGCCACTAGAGGTCACTATGATGATCTAAAAAGCTTGGAGTCCATTTAACAGGATGCATGTGGGTTAAAAACAGTTTAGCTTTAAGGGGGGATGACATCATGACTTCCATTATGCTATTTGTGAAAGCTGCAGACTGCATTAAATGGAAACCTCTCTGCCTCGAAGCTTCAGCAGCATTCCTGATGTTTAGTGAAGGCACTCTGGGTTCATTATCTCACTGGTTACCTCATCTTAAGGGGTTCACTTTATTTCAGCTCCTAAAGCCACTTTAGCTGCTCTGTTTAATATTGTTTGATGTAAAATGTCTGCTGAAAGCGAATCAGCTCATTAGATCATAGTCTTTATTAAGCTGTTTCCAGTTATGGTGGCAAAGTAATGAAATGAAAAATGAAAAAGGAAAAGAATAGTTTAAGAGCATTAATGGAAAGGGATTAGTTTATAAAAAAAAAGTGTTGCTGGCACTACATTAATTTTTGTCTTTTCTTTTAGCAGTGGTGACTGTTTGTATTCACACTCACTTTATTTTGATTTATTCTGGTTGAATTCAAATCAGCCCACAACATCTTCAGGATTTAAGGAAGGATTTTTAAAGTAAAGTTAATGTGCATTGATTTTCTTAGAATAATAAATGATTTATTGGGAAAAAATATAGTTGTAGTCAAGAGACTCGATGTTCCAAAGCTGAGAAAAAACAGAAATCAATGAGAAAACCAGGTTTTATCTTTAGAAATAACTTCTCTACACCAGACGCTTAAAATGATGCTTGCAGTTTAGAGAACTGCTTTCACAATTCTCAACACTGCAAAAAATGTAAATCTAGATAAGTCATTTTTTCTTCAAATAAGTGCATTTGTTCTTGGTTTGAGGAGGTAAAAGAGACATTTTGCCAATGGAACAAGACAATTACACTTAAAATAAGAAAAACAATTGCATTGTCTTATTTCAAGTGCAAATTGTCTAATTATCTTATTTCAAGAGTAAAATTACTCATTCCATTGGCAAACTATCTCATTTACCTACTCAAATTAAGGGTGAATACACTTAATTTGAGAAATTTTTTACTTATTTCTAGATCGTTTTTGCAGTGTATACACTGCAAAACAGATCTAAAAATAAGTGCAAATTGAATGGAATTAGTATTTTTGCTCTTAAAATAAGAAAATAAGATATGCAGTCAGTCACTTTTTTCTTTATCTTTTAGTGTAAATTGTCTTATTTCATTGACTTAGCTGCTGAAACTACAGAAAAATACCCTCATTTCTGGAAAAATTCTTACTTAGATGTCAGTTTGTGCAGTTTAAGATCCACAAATATTATTCCTTTTTCATCAAAAGCCACTCAATCTGTTATTTTCTGTTGGCATCAGAAAAGTGACTGTTTATTTTAATTCGTACCAATCTTTTTTTTTTTTTCAGAGCTTATTAAAATGAATCTTTTATTCAATTTTCTCACTGGTCTAGTCAAATTCCAGACCTAAACAGACGTGAAAATCTGTTAAAACATTATCTTTTTCCACAGATAATCAGCATTCAGTATATATACTTCCTTATATATTTTTTTCCTCTAAATCGATCGATCCATCCATTAGGGTGTGCCTATCTCTGGGTGAGATCTCCGGGTGAGAGGCGGGGTACACCCTGGACCGGTCGCCAGTCTTTCACAAGACTGCAAATACAAAAAAAGATTTTATATTTATTTTAATTTGTGAGTGATTTTAAAACCATGCATCGTTTTGCATCCTTTTCTGAACTATGCATCCTTTTGTGTTGCTATATAACATTAGAACACAGGGCTTTATACTGCTTTTAAATGTTTCTCCCTCACGCTTTACTCCGAGTTGTGCAGCTGGAGCTCATTCATGCTTTACTTCTCCTCTAGAATCTTTGCATTTTTCCAAAAAGCGCAGCAGATGGGTTGTCTTTACCTGTGTTGTTATAGCATTGTTAATAAATTCCTTTCATCACTGTTTTAACGTTACAGAATAAAATGACCGCCTTTTGCAGCATGCTCTTCATCTTCCTCTTTCTGTTCTCCTGTTTTTTGCATGTCCCCTTTTTCCATTCAGCTCATCACTCTTTTCTCCTCCCACCCTTCCTCTCCGACCTCTAGCTCCCCGTTTCTCCTCCTCCTCCTTGCAGTGTGCTGCCAGTCTTTAAGCTGGAGACACACTCAGACCAACCGTCCAGAAAAGTCTTGAGTAAAAATAAATAAACAAAAAAAGCTTTGCATCTTTTACTGAGTTGCATCAGGGAGCGATGGCCTCCTTCCTCCAAACGAAAGCTGCAAAGCTCCTAATCTACCTCTTGACTTATGTGGGTGAGTACTTATGAATGCTGGAGAATACTGACACTTGCTGATGATTCATATTTACCGTTCGCTCTCTCCTCTCTGCTTCTATTCCTGTGCTAGGAGCCATGGTCCAAGCCCAAAGCCGGCTCCTGCCAGGCTCATGCAGCTTTGAATCCAACACCTGCGGATATGAGTCAGACGCAGACCATGCGAGCTGGGTCCTGCACAGAGATGGTACTCTCAGCACATTCCAAACTGCATCTTTTAAGTAGTGTTTGTAATGAGCGTTGGTTTGAATCTTTGCTTTGCATGATGCTGTTTTTGGTGCGGATTTGTTGGCTGAACCACTGAAGCTTTCTGGTAAAGAGACGTCCATCTGGTCTGCATTGATTCCTGCATCAGCGAACATCTGGAGGGAGTGAAATAACAGATTCTGGCATTCCCCTATGGGGTTTGTAGCTCATGTGAATGGGAGCTCTACACACCCACATCAAACTCATGTCAAGGTATATTTTTTGTAGCCAGATGAATGGAGATCAGATGATGGTGTGATTACAGTGATTACTCTCACACTGAAACAATTCATCACTTTAGAAATAATCGAATGTTGTGCATCTGTAGGGAAAACAAAGCTTATGCAAAGTTTCCTACTTCGCTGCACACATCTTTGAAGATGGATTGCCCTCTGTGCACAAGCAGCTGGACTCTGTCAAGTTTATTGTGACATGAAGCGTGGCCTGCTTAAGGACACGCTTCATGTCACCGTTATTCATGACATTTTAAAGATAAGCTAAGGATACCGATTCTTTAAACTTTACCTTCGCTGTTTATTGAGCTGGATTTATATTCTATTGGAAGTCTGTGAAAATGACAGATCTGATCTGGAAGACCCACAAATAATAATATATTATTCTACCAAAGTATTGGTAGAAGTAAAGTTATAAGGTTAGATTATAGTTCACCCAGGATGAGGTCAAGCAATTATTTACTGTAACTGCAATGGTCTTAAATCATCCCTATTTTATTTTAGTTTTTTTTTTTAGATTTAAAGTAAATTTGGTTGAAAAAAAAATAATTTTTTTTTGTTTGCAGGGTTTTTCTCTTGCATTTGGTTTTTTTTGTGTGTTTGATTGTTTTGGATTTTGCATCATACGTGTGTTTGCAGCTCTTTGCCACCTTTTCCGTGCATTTTGTATTTTCCTTTTAGCAGCATTTTTCTATCGCATTTGGTTTTTGTTCTTGCGTGTTTTTGGAGTTTGGATCACACATTTTGGTTTTTATTTTTATTTTATTTCTTTGACAGGGACAGTGTACATCAATATACATTCCTGCAAATGCACCAGAATTAGCCGAAAGGCTATTTTGTATCGGATGCTCTGGGACAGATCTTAAAATTGTCTCCCTAAAATCACAACAGCAAGAATTTTGCAGTGAAAAATACAAATATAAAAAGAAATAAAAACAGCTATAATTCTGCAAAACTTGTTAAAAAATACAGAATTAATGTTCGCTGGACTACAGATTTAACGTTAATAAAATAGAGGAAAACATTCAAATAGCTCATCTTCGTTACAGGGCTTTTGGACCTGTCAGCCACCGTACCAAATGGGTCAGCCAATCACATTGCGAGTGTTATGGTTTAAGGCGGGACATACAGCTGTGATAAAAGCCTGATATGCCAGACCAAAATAAACACAGCAGAACATTAAGACATACACGTAGCTGCAGCTGTCACATCTGATTGGTCAGAATCCATGATCTCATTTTTGAAAAGAACATAAGTTGTGGTTTATCATGGTGTCTGCTGCTATTTCATTTTCTGCTGTGACTGGCTAAAACTAAACTATGGTAGGCCAGTACCTTAAAAGGATGGCCCTTTTTTCCTCTAACAGATGGTCGCAGTCACACGTTAATAATGTGTAGAACTAGAGCTGAATGCTGCACAACAGCTAGGTTTACAGGTGCAAAATGTGCAGTGTCTGCTTAATTGGAAATTTGAAATCTCTGTTTACATGGTCACTAAATAAAATAATCTGTTTGTGTGTACATGTACCAAGCGTTCAATTAGATGAAATCATTTAAGCATGCATGAAACTGGCTAATTTTCCTGAAGGCCATCAGAAAAATGTTGGATTTATATATGAAATCAAAAAGAATTCATTGCCCGATCAGACCGAATCGGAATAGAATCTTCATTCTGACATGTGTGGTGGGAAAATGTAGATTTCTCTTGTCTCATATATTTAGTTATGCTATATATCCAGTGAAAAAGGTTTTTAATCAGTTTGTTTTAGGGATGCACGATATAATCGGCCCCCTATCGGTATCGGCCTGTATCGGCCTTAAAACTGAATATCAGACATCGGCCACCTCACCGATATTTAACCCGATATTTGATCAGCTTCTGAGTTTCTAAAGTCTAAAAAAAAAAAAAAACTACTTCTTCCTCTTCCTCAAAAACTTCTTTTTTACAGACTTAAAAACTTCTAAAGACGAGGGAAAAAATATTGATAAATTAAAATATCACAATATCTTCATATGCTGATATATTGCCATTTAAAAACACCATATCAATCTCGTTTACTAATGAAATATTGCTATATGTCATCGTTATGCTACGAAATCCCCCGAAAATTCACGAAATTTTGCCATATTTTTATATGTTGATACATTGACGCGGTATCGATCTATTTTACTAACAAAATCTCACAAGAATTTGCAAAAATATCACGAGAGTTTGTAACAGAACGATGAAATTTCACGAGATTTTGAAAGTAAAATAGATCGATACCGCGTTTTTAAAAATCAATTTGATATCAGCATATGAAACTATATTTGACTACTTATTTTTGTCCAGCTTTAACATCAGTATCGATATCGGTTATTGGCTACATGAGTTTTAAAATATCGGCATATCGGATATCGGCCAAAATCCCAATATCGTGCATCCCTAGTTTGTTTCACCTGTAAGGCTGAGAAAATGCCTGAGTGAGGGGCGGTTTTAGATAAAACACGCTTATTTCCAAATTGCTAATCAAGGTTTGTTAAAGTGTGTGTAATTTGTTTTGACTCTGACACAACTTTCACAGTTTTTTCAGGGAGACAAACTCTGTCTAGTCAGAACAGGGCTGATTACTGTGCCGTATGGGCCGTATGATGAGCTGTTCTCTTTTTGCAAAGATAAGAAAATAAAGTGCTGACTGAGTAAAATCCATCAATCTATTTAACGAGGGTGAATAGTTGAATACTTTTTTCCCATTACACATGTTTACATGAAACCTTATTAATCTGATCCGGACTTCAATCTGAGTATTTGTGTACATGTAAATGTAGCTATTTTCAATCTAGTTTTTTTTAAAACATTAATAAAAAAATTTTATCAAATAAGCAATAGGCACAATGCTGCAAAAACAATCCTGTAACTAAGTTTTAAATACTACATATAACTATTTATTCCTTATCTTAGTTTCTATTTCAAATTTTATTTAAAATATAGAGGTACAAAACATTTTTTATTTATGTTTTCATTTGTTTTTTCAAGCTACCCGGTGGAAAAACAGAAAAACAACACCAAAATAATTACGTCTATGAATTTGCTACAAACATGTCATATAAAATGTGTCAGCCAATCACGTTGCGAGTGTTATTTTTAAGGCGGGTGTTGGAGCAATTTCGCAGAATTTGAGTTAATTTAAGAATGTAAGAAATATTTTGTTCATATTTAGTAATATAGGAATGTATTTAGTTAAACAGATGTTTACTTAGCTGCTGTGGTGCATTTGATGCTGCTGGTTTGGTGTGGAACTGTCAGGACACACGAAGAATGTCAGAACGGAAGCTGTGAGCCTTAGGATCATCAGTCTTTTGACCGGCACATAGGAATTTTATTTAGATAAGAAGTTAAGAATTTGTCTTTTGTTTGTACATTTCTTAAGTTCACTAAAGAAATACATCAAACTCAAGTTTCTGATTCCAGACTTCTTATATTTTTGTTATATGTCGCATCTGAAAGAACTTCAAGGTTCAAAGCTAGTGAGTCGCCTGCACTCGCTAGCTTTTATCTTTTATCTATGTGGTTTAGAGCAGTGCGCTTGTTCTCTGAGAAGGTTGCTCGTACCCGGTTCTATCCCCACAACCTCCACTATGGGTCCCTGAGCAAGACCCTTAACCCCACACTGCTCCCCAAGGGGATGGGACAAATGCAGAGGTGAATTTCTCCGGTGTAAGATTAATAAAGTTAAATTATTACTAAAATATCTTCACGTTTTACTGATGTTATTTTTTTTAATACCAGTATCTGCCAATGTAATATAGTTCAGCTTATATTATTGCATATTCTCTAATACATTTGAATGCTGGAGAGATTCCCCATTTCACACATGTGACTCAGGCACTTGGGAGTCAAATGATTATTGGTTATAAGAGTTATCATTTAAAGTTAAAGTGGTTGTAAATTAATCAAAACACAAAATACCTTTAGAGAGAGAAAAAAAGCCATTATATTACCATTACAAAAATGATTCTTTCATTCAATTTTATTCAATTATCTTGGCGAATGCAACTTCCTGTTTTCTCTCAAGAAAAGTATGGCGCCCCCTTTTCCGGTTCCAAACCACTGTAGGTACCAGATCTGCTCAGGCAACCCAGTCTCATGGGAAAATGTACCTCGACTACGTTGGTCCACACTGCAAAACGTAGTGGAGGTACATTAATGGCAATTTTTTTGTGGTACTGTTACATTTCTTCACCCTATACCCTTTCTATTGTTTTACGTCCTAGTCACGTGACTTTCAAGATTCCAGCTGGGAATCCGACATTCGCTCATTTTTTGTGGAAAGATTAATAACTTGAGTTTGTTTTTGCATTAAAATGAGTTTTGATTACATTGCTAGTGAGAAATGTATAGTTTGTTGTCAGAATATTTACTCAGGGAATGTACATATTCACTTGCTTGTTCGTTTCTTGCAAAAAATTTTCAAGATAATGTGAAACTGTAACGTTTTGGTATAAACATGGCCGAGATTTCTCTAACTTTTAGTGGGAAAATTAATAATTTCAATCAGTTTCTGCATTTAAATGGGTTTTTATGACATTTATAGCGAGAAGTGTAGGGTTTATTTACATAATATTTACTTAGTGAACATACATAATCACCCGCTTGCTAGTTTTTGCTACGATTTTTCGGATCTCGTCAGGATTATGTGAAATTGCAACATTTTGGCTGCTACACATCGCCTAGCATTTAGCTGCCGCCCCGATTCAACATTGAATTCTTTGTGATTTAACTTCATCTGACGGATCAAACCTTCGCCACTGCGTGCGTTGCGTCTGAGGTTGATTTTCAGATCATGCATTACGTCGTGGCATACAGGAGAAACTAATGTTGACAAAATGATCATGGGTTAAGATCGGATGTGTTTTATTTGGAAATCTACCGGATCCTTTGTGCATTTAACTTCCTGCCCCGCCCCTTCTTCTGATGTCAATATATGGCAACTCCACTCAGATAAACTGTAGTGCACCCGTTTCTTAAGGATCAAATCTCTTTTGTAGTTTCAACATATTGTATTATTACCTATATATGCTATTATTTTACATTTCATTGGCGGTCTAAAGCAGCCGAAAGTAGAAAACAATCATTGTCAGTCTTGAAGGAAAGTACTGTGTTCTAAGACTGACTGAGCTCTGCCATTTAACAAGATGACAAAAAAATCTCGGTTTCTTAACAAATGGGACATCTTAAAAATTACTTTCGTAGAGATTTTAGACGAAGAAAACAACAGTTTTTCTACTTGTAGAAAACGTACGGTTCTTGAGATACGAATTACAAAGTACTTCAATTCGATTCAGTTTATTTCTATAGCGCCAATTCACAACACATGTAATGTCAAAGCAGTTTCCAGTTCACCACATCATCCAGTCAAATTGATTCAAAGTTTTCTATCTAAGGAAAACCAGTTGACTGAATCGACTCATTGACTCGAAGGCAATCCCTCACACTAAGCATGCTTGTAGCGACAGTGGAGAGGAAAAACTCCCTTTTAACAGGAAGAAAACTTCAGCTGAACCAGGCCAGTAGTGTAGCTCAATATGGCAAACTGGCCAAGCTAAAAAAGGCTAACCTGTTAGCTACTTGGCAAAGCTACAAGCCTTCCCTCTTTATATCATGGTCTTGCAGTTACTTTGTTCACCATAAACAGATTTTTTTTAGTTTTGTAAGCTATCAGGTAAAACTTCATCGGTCATAAGACACGCTAATGGACACTGCGGGATCTTATTATCGTTGTCTGGGCAACCACTATGCCAATCATGTAGCATAACGTCACTGGCTTGCGCAGGACTCAAGCAGATCTGGTCCACAGAAATATCAGGCTATACACTGAAACAACGCTAAGATAGTGACGGCTTTTAAAGCAAAAAAAAGATCCTTGTTGATTCAACAACATAAAGTTCATCAACCATTAATCAATGTTAAATGAACACATTTTGCTATGCGGGAAACAATTAGCTGCGTCATAAAACTGCATCAAAGGTTAAATTGATGTACTCTTTTGACAGTCATTGGATAAAAGAGATATTTTGTGATCGTGGCATCGTTCTGTAACTGCTGTGCATCGTTACCCAGGCAGCGCTGGAAAAAATTATTTAAACATATTTGTTTCCAACCACCACCATTGGTTGTAATTGTCTTAAAACTGCCCTGCTGTGGCAGCATGACTCACGGTTCAGCTGGTTTCCTTCCACTGTTTTCATCCTGGTTGCCATGTCTGCAGGCTTGTTAAAAGGAAAAAAAGTCACTGAAGTGGTGGCATTAATTGTTAGCACAGCTCTCGTTTATTTCTTCTTCTTTCCTCAGTCTCAATGTTCTGTGCAGGCAAAGCAGGAGCAGCCAAGTGCGAATGCTGTTTAATAAATGCACTGAGTTGCTATTTATTTGCAAAAGCTAGGGTGTGATATATATCCAATTTATTGGATGAGTTTACTATTGTTTGGGTGATTGTATCCCAATCTTTGGGAGTTTTCCTCGTATTCCATGAAGCTGCTGGGCTGCAGAGCATTCCACAGGGACAAATAATGAATGACAGACCACTGAGAAAGCAGTAAAAACCCCTCAAGCGCCGAGGGGTCATGAAGGAGGATTTCATGCTGAACCCAGTTGGAGATTTAGGACTTGTTTTAAATCCTAAACTGGATTGGTCCATTCCGTTTTGTAATTGTTTCGGAAATACTAATATAAACAGCATTTAGTTTGCCGATTTTTGGCATCACAGTGAAAGAAACTTAACAGAAACCAAGAAAAAAAAAATTTTTTTGTAGTCCTGCTGCATCATCCA